TATTTTAAAAATGAAATGATATAATGCCTGAGATTTGTTCTAAATAATAAGTGAGAAGGAGAAGAGGAGTAGGGAGCTCCAACGAAACAATACCAGCCATGAGTAGGCAGGAGTTGAAGACAGGCAGTGAGTTCATGGGATTTCTTACACTGTTTTCTCTACTTTTCTAGAAGTCTGAAATTTTCCATAACGAAGTAAGAAAAAAAAAGCTACAAAGAACTGAGATTAGAGCTTCTACTCACACTTCAGGTAAGGCAGAGTTTGAGTTAAAGTTAAGTGCCTACTGAAACAAAAGCATCAACAAGGTTTGTAGGAGTATAACAGAATCCAGAGTGTCTACAACAATGTACAAGATACAATCCAAAATTTCTTGACACAAGGTCCAAAAGGAAAATGGGACTCATTATCAGGGGAAAAGACAAAAAAAACGGCAATCCTGAGATGAGCTAGAGCCATTATAACTCAATGAGGTAAAGAAAAATGAAATGAATTAAAAGATAAATTGAATAAAATGTTGGTAAATGGTACTCAGGGACCAAGAATAACTACTGTAACTTTCTGTGAGTCAAACTATTTCAAAATAAAAAGTTAAAAGAGGAGGAAGAGATGGAAGGAAGAATAAGAAAATCTAGAATCATTTTACCTGCAAAATGGTACAGCCACTTTGGAAGACAGCTTGATGGCTTCTTACAAAACTAAACATATTCTTAGCACACAATCCAGCAATCACGACCTTGGTATTTACCCAAAGAAAGTAAAAAAACTTATATTCACACAGAAACCTGCACACAGATGCTTACAGCAGCTTTATTCATAATTGCTAAAACTTGGAAGAAACCAAGATGTCCCTTCAGTAGGTGAATGGATTAATAAACCGTGGTACATCTAGACAATGGAATATTATTCAGCTCTAAAAAGAAATGAGCTATCAAGTGATGAAAAGACACGAGGGAAGCTTAAATGCATATTACTAAGTGAAAGAAGCCAATTTGAAAACACTACTATATGACATTTTGGAAAAGGCAAAACTAAAGATCAGTAAGGATGAACAGGGAGAGCACAGAGGACCTTTAGGGCAGTAAAAATACTTTGTTCTATATTATGCATTTGTCCAAACTCATAGAATGTAGAACACCAAGAGAAAACAAACTATGGACTCTGCCTGATTACAATGGTGTTAAATGTGGATTCATTAGTTGTAACAAATGTACCACTTCCGTGAAAGATGTAGATAGTGGCGCAGAAGGTATATAGGAAATCTGTACCTTCCTCTTAATTTTGTTGTAAACCTAGAACTGCTCTAAAAAAAAGTCTATAGGGTGGCTCAGTCGGTTAAGTGACCAATTCTTGATTTCGGCTCAGGTCATGATCTCAGGGTCATGAGATCGAGCCCCACATTGGGCTCTGCACTGAGCATGGAGCCTGCTTAATATTCTCTCTCTCCTTCTCCTCCCCCACTTGTACGAGTTCTCTCTCTAATAAAAATAAAAATAAAAAATATTTTAAAACTCTATTAAGAAGGTAACAGGATCTGAGCTTGGCGGTGACGGGCAGCCCTCATGTGACCAGGAGCCTATGTCTGCCCGAGTCCCTCCCTCCTGGTCCTTTTTGCCTGTCCAGACACCGTCTGCCTCCTGCCCTTTGGTCGAGGGGAAGAGGAGAAGGAAGTCTGCAGATCTGCAGGTCACAGCAGTGCGCCTCGAGGACTCCTAGAGCAAACTGCCAGGAGAGGTCCAGACCGTCCTGAACACGGAAAAATCCTGCAAAGAACATGAAGAACAGCCACAGGGAGCACCCAGGATGGATGAGGAGCAGCCTCCTGTGGAGCACTCTCCCAAAAAGCAGTCTCCAGAGGAACCATCTTCCAAGGAGCAGTCCTCAGAGGAGGAGTTCTTTCCCGAGGAGCTCCTTCCCGAGATGCTGGTATCCGAGGAGCACCCTCCTCAGGAGCACCTTTCTGGAAGGGACCTTTTTGAAGAGCGCCCTCCCATGGAGCAGCCTCCTTGTGGAGTGGGAAAACATAAGCTAGAAGAAGGAAGCTTTAAAGAGAGGCTGGCTCGCTCTCGCCCGCAATTTAGAGGGGACACACACGGCAGAAATTTAAGCAATGAGGAGATGATAAAGGTAGCAGAGGAGATGGAAGAAATGAAAAGAGTACACAACAAATTGATGGTTATGCACTGGAAGGCGAGACGGAATCGTCCTCATCCTATTTAATGTGTTCGGCCTTTAATTCTGTTTTGCCTGATATAAGTATTGCCACCTGAAGGTTGTATCTTCTCATATACCTTTCCCCATCTCAATCATAACTTTTCGCGTGGCTTTATTCTAGGTGTTTCACTTGTAACTGGCATAAAATTGGGTTTTCCCCACCCACAAGCTGGAAGTTTCCCTTTTCCAATCATGGGTCTCACCCATTTGCATGAAAAGATGTACATTATATATCGTGAAGTGAAAGAAAATTTTCAAAAAGTATATGTTGTATCCCATTTTTGTAAAAAATGTATATTTTATATTAATATGCAAAGAAAAAACTTATATACTTAAATGGCTTAACAGTGGCTATCTGAGGTAACAGGTGTTCTGGTTTGTTTTTAATTTTTGCTTCATCGGAACTTCTCATTTGTCAAGACGAACATTTTACTTTTGTTGCAAAAATATATAATGGAAAAACTTTAAAAGCTGTCAATCAGCTTATAAAGACAATGTGGCACTTAATAAATACTTCTCAGAACTTAAAAGTAAAAAAAAAAAAAAAAGTCAATTAAGAAAAGGTCAACTTAAAAAAAGTATAAATATGTTACCAAATTTTATCTAAAATAAAAATCCACTAGGGGCACCTGGCTAACTCAGTTAGTAGAGAATATGACTCTTGATCTCAGGGTTTTAAGTCTGAGTCCCACATTGGACAAAGAGATTACTTAAAAATAAAAATCTTAGGGGTGCCTGGGTGGCTCAGTCGTTAAGTGTCTGCCTTCAGCTTAGGTCATGATCCCAGGGTCCTGGGATCGAGCCCTGCATCGGGCTCCCTGCTCAGCAGAAAGCCTGCTTCTCCCTCTCCCGCTCCCCACTTGTGTTCCCTCTTCCGCTGTGTCTCTCTCTGTCAAATAAATAAATAAAATCTTAAAAAAAAAAATCTTAGAATAAAAATAAAATAACAATTCACTAGATGGGCTTAAGAGCAGAACAGAAAGAGATGATAAAGAAAAGTCAGTGAACTTATAGATCAACAAGATTATCCAATCTAAAGAACAGGAAAAAAAGAAAAAAGTGAACCTGTGGGATAATATCAAAGAAGCCTAGCATACATGTAATTATTTCTAGCAAGCTAAGAGAAAAATAGTTAAATAAATAATGGCTCCAAATTCCCCAAATTTAGTAAAAGTCATACATTTTCAGATTTAAGAAGCTCAGCAAACCCCAAGCAGAATAAACACAAAGAAAAGCCCATCTAGGCATAATATGGTCAAACTGCTAAAAACCAAAGAAAGAGAAAATCCTGAAAGCAGAGAAAAAAGCAATATATTCCATATATGGGGAAACACTGCTACCAACAGAAAGTTCTCATCAGAAAACTATGGAGACCAGAAGATCCTTAAAGGGTTGAAAAAAATAACTGTAAACCCCAAATCTTGTATCCGGTAAAAATACCCCTCTAGAATGAAGATAAAATCATTTTTCAGAGACAAAGAGAAGTATTTCACCAAAAGACCTGTATAATCAGAAATACTAAGCAAGGGGCACCTGGGTGGCTAAGTCAGTTATATGTCCGACTCTTGGTTTCAGCTCAGGTCATATTCTCATGGGTCATGAGATACAGCCCTGCATTGGGCTCCTTGCTCAGCAGGGAGTCTGCTTGAAAATTCTCCCCCCCCCTCCCCTTGCGCATGCCTTCTCTCTCTCAAATACATAAATAAATCTTAAAAAAAAAAAAAAAAAGAAAAATGCTAAGGGAAAATTTTCACACTGAAAGAAAATGATACCAGAGGAAAACATACTCGAAAGGGAGTGAAGAATTTGGCAATGATAAATATCCAGGTAAACGTAAAAGATTAAGTATCCTGCTGTACAGTTAAATGGGCTACATTCACTGTAGCATCCCCTCGTTCTGTATGCATCCAGAATTTGAATGATCTGCAGATGTAAACCTCAAAATGAGACTACTGAGAGGGGACATGACAGCTATTCTTCAAATATTCAAAACCTGTTATGTGTAACTTCTTAAGTAGCACTAAAGTTAATGAGAAATTACAGGGCATCAAATTTCATCTCAATATAAAGAAGAATTTTTCTAAAAACTAGGACTTTGACAGTAGGCTTTCTTGCAAGGTAATGAGCTTCCTGTCAGTAAATAGAGGTTTGATAATTATCTATCTGGGATGCTAGAGTAGGATTATCTTTTAGGATACTAATCTACTAACTTCTTGATTTATCTAACTCTATGTTGCCCAATACAAAGATATATTACACCAAGCAACTCTGAACACAATCCCTAATATACAGTATAAATTTTCTCTTTTGCCTTTTCTATCAACCCCTCTGCAGTCACATCTTTTATTTCCACAATTTTATCTTTTAATTCTAATTTCTAAAAATGCAAATACTATTTTTTAAATGTGTATGGTATCTTACAGGTTATAAAAACAATTCCAAATACATTAGTTCATTTGGACCTTTCAAGATCCTCTGGCTGGAAAGATATTTATAAAATTGTTAAGTGTCATAATGACAGTCCCTGAACTACAGCACAGTAAAAGAAATTACAAATCAACTATTCTGGACTGTTGCCTATTTGGATTTGAAAAGCATATTCACTGACTTTATTCTCTTCTGCCACTGTATGACCAACGCCTGTATTTAAGACAACCTTTAAATTTTAAGTTAAATGAGTATGACAGAGTTTGAGAAACACGCTATTTTTAAGGATATTAATCCCTGGCCTTTAAAACAAAGTGATGGAGTACTTCTACCTATACCCAAAAGGGTACACTAAAAATTACCTGTTGCAGAATCTGACTTTCTATCAGAAGTGGGTGGTGTCTCACAAAGCTCCACATTTCTGGACTGAGAGTTTTCAGAAGTGTTGTTAGGTTCACATGAGGTGGGTGGAGTAGAGACTGAACTTTCTGACTGGCTGCCATTTGCCACCGATGTTTCACCTTTTAATGAGTGCATCTAGGGAGAAAACACATTGGAATTTAATGAACAGGTAAGAATCTAAACCTACCTGGCAGATGAGGCCAAAATATAAGTCAATTGTCTCCATAGGAGGGAAAAGTACTAAACCTTCTAAGTACATGAATCTAAACTGTGTAATCCTACACATGGTATAATCACACTGTGGAATTCAACTACAATGTGACAAGAACATAAAAAGATTTTCAAAGCACAATGATTTTCCTTCAAATTAGAATTCTAGGAAAAAAGTTTGAAGCTATCTTAGCCATTTGCCCAAAGAGGATACGAATGAGAAATTGACTAAATTCCTTAAAATGTGTCAAGCAATACAGTTTGGGAACTTAATGTGCAACCTCTCTCTCGCAACAAAGGAATAGTGATGTGTATTAGTAGTTACATGAGGGAGGAAAGAAGGGAGAGTAAGAAGTCACTCATTAGGTTCAGGTACTTACAACTTCACAATGCTATTTTCAAAACCAGTCCAGGAAAATAATATTTACTACCTTTTAAAAGTTTAATGGCATGGCAGGTTCCTGATTATACAGAGCAGCTCCAAAAATATTCCAATGTCAAGTTTCTGACATACCATTTTCCCATGTTTATAATAAAGAAATTCTGTTCCTTCTCACCTGCCGGACTTTGTGAATTCTGGTAACAAGTTCATCTGCAGAAACACTTCCTGCTATTACTTCCAAGGGAATTCCACTGTCTCCAATAAAGAAACTGGATGGAACACACACTACGGGATCTGTACAATTTAATTAAGTCTAACGATTCATGAAAAACAAGGGCATAATTTTATGAAATATTACTGATAAAAAAGCAGAACAAATCTTTGTTAATTTCACAATGTTATCAGCTAACATGTTTACCAAATAATTTCAACTACCTTATCATTATGCTTGTCATGCATGTGATAGATAAACTGATTTGTTTTATTTGTATTGTATAACTGAGTGGAGAACATCCACTACATTCCCCTCTATTGTCACTTTTACATCTATCTTGCCCCTTAACAGCTTCTTCTAACATTCCAACCAAACTGCTCTATACTGCTTTCCAGATATTGACAATAAAAAAACTCTCTATGATCCCCTTTGTTACAATGTATTATCTCAAAGGACACTTAGTAACATAAATTTTCAATAAACAAGAATGCAAGAGTTCCTAAATAAAAATGAATAATTTCAAAATGTCATGAATTAACCAAAAGAAAGGCAAATCCTCAAGCAAAATATGTATCAAACCAATTCTTTATTGAAAGGATACAGATTTGTGAAAATTGTAGGCAGGCTTCACTGTAAAACAAAATCAAACAGAAAATCACTAGATGCATGCCTTTTCCAAATACTCCGTTGTTTTTATAAAAATGTACTGAACCAATTAAAATGATTTTTCTGAAAGTACTAGTTCCTTTCACAGTCATCAGGTGGGAGGAGAAAAGTGCAATTCTTATTTTAGAGACCTTTTCTGGTTTGTTTTATAATTTTCGGATTAAAGAGCTACTTGCTCTTGCAACCCACAAACTCGTGGCTGGATCTGGGGACTAAAAATCAAGCAGGTATCTGCCATGTTGCTTCCTCAGCAGCAAGTATACCTCAATACAATACCTTAACTTGTAACAAGAGGCTATTAATGCTTATAACTTACTTGTGCAAAAGATAATACAGTACTTTGTAGTAAGAAATGATTCAAAACAACCTAAATATCCACCAGTAAAAACTAAGCAATCATTAAAAAGATACAAAAAAGTGTATCAAAATGCTACCACTTTTGTGAAAAAGGGGAGGAAAATAAACAAGAATGTAAGAAAGGGGAGGAAAATAGATTTGGTTACTGCAGAGAAGGGAACTGGGTGGTTAGGGACAAGGATAGGTGGGACTTTACATTATGATACAAGTAAGAGATACTAATCACTGTGGGTCAATAATACCAAGAATCAAATTAATATTTCCAAGAATTAGAAATTTGTTTCATTTTCTGAATATAAACCATGATCATAAAAACATCTGAGAATAGAATGGGAAAGTATAAAGAAAAAAATTACGAAGAGTCCTACCTTCCCAAAACTAACCAAAGTAAACTTTTTTTAAAGATTTATTTATTTGGGGGGAGGGAGGGGCAACAGGAGAGGAGAGAGAGAATCTTCAAGTAGACTCCCTGCTGAGCACAGAGCCCAACACAGGGCTATATCCCAGGACCCTGAGATCATGATCTGAGCCGAAATCAAGAGTGGGACCCTTAACCCACTGAGCCACCGAGGCAGGCGCCCCACCAATGTTAACTTCTGATGTATTTCCTACCAGTCTATTTTCAACACAGGCTATCTCTATAAATAAATACACACCAGAATGTTACTAAAACATTAGATAATTTCATAATTATATAATATATAAAATCTACTTTCATCATTTAAGACACATTAGATTCTATTAGCAGGCAGTCCATAATGAAACAAACAGCAACCATCCTATACACAGGTATCCCTGCAACTGCTTTTAGAAATTTGTTTTTAAAAAAGAAAAAAAAAAAATTTGTTTTTAAAAATGCTAGATACAGGGCTCCTGGGTGACTCAGTTGGTTAAGCGTCCAACTCTTGATTTTGGCTCAGGTCATGATCTCAGGGATGTGAGATCAAGCCCTGCAGTGGGCTCCTCACTGGGCATGAAGCCTACTTAAGATTCTCTCTCTCCCTCTCCCTCTGCCCCTCCCCCTCTCCCCCCTCTCTCTTTCTCAATAAAAAAAAAACTGCTACATACATCAGTCTGTATATAACCTCAAGAATTCTGATATTCTCATCTCTTCCACATTTCCAATATACCCCTACACTCCTCCTGCCATTACTGGTACTTCTGGAAATAATGGACAATATAAATGACAGGATATACATTAAAATGGTAAGATTCTTTTTTTTAAGGATTATAGCTCAATAAATATATAGTTCAATAACTCCTGCTGTGAGGCAAACCACTATGATTTGTTTTATGACATTTTTAATACTGAAAAATTTTTAGTAAAAAATTTACAAACTGGGGCACCTGGATGGCTCAGTCAGAAGAGCACGTGACTCTTGATCTCAGGGTCATGAGTCTGAGCCCCACGTTGGGTGTAGACATTACTTAAATAAATAAAATTAAAAAAAAAAAACAAAAACCTACAAACTTACAGGTAAATTGCTAAATATTTTAATCTTGACAGTAACTTTCAACCACCACTCATTCATTCTGATATTATCAGTATCAAAAGGACAAAAATGCCATTTTATAGTTGCTAATGAATTAATGCTTCTAGGACTGATCATTGATGCCTGCTGCTAACATCATAAAGTAAGACAACAGGTCATTATGTGCCTTCTAATGGAAGAATGGAAGACATTACCACTATTTATGAAGTAGTCTTGATGGAAAAAAAAAATCTAACCTGAATCCAACTGTCAATTTACAGGAAATAGAGGACAGAGGAACATATTAGATAACACTAACAGGGATGCAGTCAACAAAATCCATACTGTAGGAAACTAAAGAACAAATGACCTAGTTTCTCCAAAATATTAACTGCAAAGAAAAAAAGGGGGGGAGGGGGGAGTCTACAGACTAAAGGAGACTTGAGAGATCAACACATCACAGTGTGTGGACCATGATGGATCCTCAACCAAACAAATTATAATAAATTAAGAATACAACTATGACATAGATAAGACAACTGAAAATATGAACAGTAGCTGGGTATTTGCTATTAAGAAACTTTTATTAATTTGTTTTTGAAGTATTACAGTTATGTTAAAAATTTAGTTTTTCACATATTAAATTTAGGTTAATTAATGTTAAAAAATATATTTTTTAGAGACATACTAAAACATTCATTGATGAAGTGACATGATGACTGAGATTTGCCACAAAAGTATACGTGATGAGTGGAAATGGGTCGGGGTATAGCTCAAACAAGACGGACTATAAGTTGATAATTACCGAAGTAGTTGACAAGTACATGGGAGTTCATTACACTTTCACTTACTTGTGTATATGTTTGAAATTTTCTACAATAAAAAAACATTTTTAAGGGGGGAGGAGAAGGAATGGATTAACAAATAAAAGAGACTTGTGGATATCAAGTACTGTGAGGACCTAAAAAAGTCCTTACTCCTACTGAATTAATAAACAGCTTCATTCCCAAAATAGGATCCAAAACAGTGGTCAACCTTCCAGAGATAATCGATATATAATTTATAATTTACAGTTACTTCCAAGTTCTTAGAAGCTAAGGATCACATTCTTTTGCATTCCTGGTACATGTCACATTGCTGCTTGGTGGACCAGCAGAACTTAAAAGTTTTTCAGCAAGATATCATGATGTATTTGGAAAATGGCAATCAGAATTTAAGTCCCCAACATGCCCTAGAGAAAAATCAACATTCTTATAATCTAAGAGTATCACCATAAATCTCAACAAAAGACAATGGTTATAATATTTAAAAAATTAACACATATAAGCAAACCTTTTGGTATCGATTTTAATAGCAACAAAACTGTCTGAAGATGCTTCTGTCACTTTCTCATCTTCCCAACTTGCAGCCATCTGTGTAGACTGCTCATCATCACCTGTAAAACATTTCAAGGATACTTATGAGCCAATATCTGCAGATTCTTTTCCCTTAGAATATGGAATTTCAAATAAAATATAATTCCACAAATACTACAATTGGTATTTTCTACCAAGTTTGAAAACTAAAATTTTCCCATAAAATGAAAAGCATGATAATGCACTGTTAACATTACAAAAAGTAATGAAAACAGCTTAGACAACTAAAAATAAATAAATAAATAATGACGATGTAATGAAAAAGAATGAAGGTATCTCGATTTTACAAAGTATTTTCTAAAAAAAGACATCCAAATTATGAAGCAAATGGTATCACAATAATTGGAAGTCATAGTAGAAATGTACAGCAGCTATTTTGGCTTTTGTATGTGTGATTTTAGAAAATAAATGCACAATATTCTTCCTTTATGTAGCACTTTTCTGTCGAGCTCAATGTTCCCACACCACACCATCACTCCCCAGAATTCCTCCAAGGTAGACAGAAGCAAGTGCAATTCTGATTGCAGTTTTGGACTTGCCTTTTATTATAGGTATGCTAATTTTAAAAGATATGCTGATCCAGGGGCACCTGGGTGGCTCAGGTGGTTAAATGTCCACTCTTGATTTCGGCTCGGGCCATGATCTCAGGGTCTTGAGATCAAGACCCTGACATGGGCTCCACACTCAGCAGGAGTCTGCTTCTCTCTTCCTTTCCCTCTGTCCCTCCCCCTGCTCACATGCGTGCACACGTGCTCTCTCTCTAAAATAAATAAATCTAAAAAAAAAAACAAAAGTTATGCTGGAGCGCCTGGGTGGCTCAGTCGGTTAAGCGGCTGCCTTCGACTCAGGTTGTGATCCCAGGGTCCTGGGTTCCAGCCTCGCATCAGGCTCCCTGCTCAGCGGAGAGCCTGCTTCTCCCTCTCCCTCTGCCTGCTTGTGCGCTCTCTCTGTCAAATAAATAAATAAAATCTTTATTAAAAACAAAAAAGTTATGCTGATCCAAAAGTTATCTATGGTGATAGAATTCAGCATAGCAGTTACCTGGGTGGAGGTGTTACTGATTGGGAAAGAGCATGAAGGAGCCTTCTGGGGGTGCTGGAAATATTTATATCCTATCTGGATGAGAGTTACACGAGTGTGTTAATATATAAAAATTCACTGAGCTGCTCACTTAATATATTTCACTTAATATACTGTATATCATACTTCAATAACAAAATGTTTTAAAAGTTATATCTATCAGATATTACTTCCTTTTTAGACTTGTTACGTCTAGACTTTGACATAACCACTTACTGGTGGGCAGAAGGAAACTTACCCAAGTAAGTCAATGAAAAATACTTCTGATGTTTAGCAGAGCTAAGTGCTTTCTCAAAAGTGAACAACTTCTGCCAATTTAAAGATTAAAAAAGTTCTCAGGTCACATTTTTGCTTACCAAAAATGAGATAATTCTGTGTCTATTCTTCCACAAGCTGTTTTCTTATGTGTAGCCCCTTTCCCCTATTTAATCCACCCTCAGCCCTCCTCATCTCAGTTACCTGTTTAAGGTAACTCCATCCTTTCAGTTTTTAGGCTAAAAACTAATTATCCTTGACTTCAGCTGACTCTACCTCCAAAATATATCCAGAATGTAATTATTTCTTACCACTTTCACTGCTACCACCCTGATTTAATCTACCACATCTCACCTAGATGATTACAATAGCCTCCTAACTGGTCTCCCTTCCCAATCTAGCCCCCAACCCCACGCCAATCAATATAGCTTTTACTACATCTTTTAAAATACCACAAATAAGTCTGAAAAGTCATCTAGCATCTTGCTGTTGCTGTAGCTGGACAACTTAGATCTTATTCATTAGCCTGCTGAACTCTGCCTTTTTCAGAAACATAGATACCGGGCGCCTGGGTGGCTCAGTTGTTAAGCGACTGCCTTCGGCTCAGGTCATGGTCCCGGGGCCCTGGGATCGAGTCCCATATCGGGCTCTCTCCTCTGCGGGAAGCCTGCTTCTCCCTCTCCCACTCCCCCTCCTTGTGTTCCCCCTCTCACTGTGTCTCTCTCTGTCAAGTAAATAAATAAAATCTTTAAAAAAAAAAAAAAAAAAAAAAAGAAACATAGATACCATCCAAAAATTTACTGATATCCTTGTTTTTAACTACTGTGGCTTGCTAAATCAAAGCAGCTGAGTTTGATACAAGCCCAATGTCATTTCCTTCAAAATTAACTCATCTTTCTGGACTTGAGACACTGAACAAACAATACTTGGCCTCATCCAAACCCCACAGATGTGCTTTTCAACCAAGAAATTCCAGATTTCAACAAGAGAACCATTCTACTGAATAACAATATTTATGGGGAAGTGACCATACAAAAACCTCATCTTGTAAGGGAAGCCCAGTGTAGCCCCCTTGATCGTGTTCTTTTTTCTTTTTTTTTAAAAGTAATCTATATACCAGGGGAGCCTGGTTGGCTCAGTCGTTAAGCGTCTGCCTTCGGCTCAGGGCAGGCATGATCCTAGGGTCCTGGGATCGAGCCCCACATCGGGCTCCCTGCTCCGCAGGAAGCCTGCTTCTCCCTCTCCCACTCCCCCTGCTTGTGTTCCTTCTCTCACTGTGTCTCTCTCTGTCAAATAAATAAAATCTTAAAAAAAAAAAGTAATCTCTACATCCATCGTGGGGCTCAAACTCACATGCTCTACCGACTGAGCCAGTCAGGAGCACCCCCTCCCCCAGATCATATACTGTACATGACTACAGGTAATGGGAATAGTAGCCAATTCTTTTCTATTTCCCCACCATTTGTCATCTCAGAGCCTCTTCTTTCTCCTTCCAAGGAGATGGAGTTCTACACTGATGTGACTGAAGTCCCTTCACAGGGTTCCTCTGGGGCCTTTCACAATAACTATGCATCCCTTCACAGTGATGTCGACATTTTCTGGTACGCCAACAGTCTGACTGCTGGCTGCAGTAGATGTGGCAAAGCTTCTCAGTCTGTTCTTAATACGGCAACTTTCATCAAAGAGTCTTACCACATCAGTCCTCTGCTCAAAATCCTACAATGGCTCCCAATTTCCCTCACATTAAAAGTCAAACTCCCTACAAATGGTCTCATACCTCCAGTTACCTCTGACCTCATTTCTCTTTACCTTATTCTGATTCAGCTAATACAAAAACACTCTTACTTTAAGGTCTTTGTACTAGTTGTTTCCTCTGCCTGGAATGTTCTTTCCTCAGATATTTAGATGGTTAATACTCAACTCCTTTAAGTTCTTGGTCAAATATTACCTTCTCAATAAAGCCTTCCCTACTACACACTACTTTAAATTGACAGCCTTTAGGGGCAGCTAGCTGGCTCAGCCAGTAGAGCATGTGACTCTTGATCTCAGGGTCATGAGCTCAAGTCCCACAAGTCCCATATATACAAATATATACAAATAAAGAACAAAATGACAGCCTTCAGACATTCCCAAAGTTCCCTAATCTCCTGGTCTTTTGTTCCCCCTGTAATACTTAGGATCTTCTAATAAACCATGTGTTTTACTTACTATATTTACTGTCTCCCTCAACTAGAAAGCAGGCTCCATGAAAGCAAGGACTGTTTTCTTTTTTATTTACTAATATAACTCAAATGCCTACGATATAAGCTGGCATATGGTAAGTACCTGGCATACAGCAAGCCCTCAGTAAGTATTTTGTGGAATGAACAGCTAAATTTCTGGTATAGTAAGTATCTTGGCATACCTACAATAACTGACTAATGCTGCATATATATACATATTTTTTAAAGATTTTATTTATTTATTTGACAGAGAGAGACACAGCGAGAGAGGGAACACAAGCAGGGGGAGTGGGAGAGGGAGAAGCAGGCTTCCCACGGAGCAGGGAGCCTGATGCGGGGCTCGATCCCAGGACCCTGGGATCATGACCTGAGCCAAAGGCAGACGCTTAACGACTGAGCCACCCAGGCGCCCCTAATGCTGCATATGTGAATATATTCTATGTGAGATGATCCAGGAATAATAGGAGCTTGACAAATCTGGCCATGGAAAAGTAAATAGGGGGTAGAACGCATCCACAGACCAGGACCAAAAAGAATGCCCATTAGCAGACTCCCAGATGTTGAGGAAGCAAATGAGGAAAACTATAAGCTAAATGTGAAACAAATGAGACACTGCCTGCCCTCCGTGGAGTTTAAAAATCTAATGGTACAAAAAATGTACTTGTTTAGTAAACAATTATAAATAATTATAGTAATAAATACGGTGAAAAAAAAGAACAGATCTAAGAAAATAACGAGACCTTTTTAGATCAGTCAGGGAAGCCTTCTCTAGGGTGGCATTTAAGGGAAGACATAAAGGATGAAAAGGCTGAGCTGGGCCAAGAGTCTGAACAGTTCACTAAGAAGGTATTTACGTGTAGGAAAAGGCCCGTGTGACTGGGAATGTCATAAACAACAGGGAACACGAGACAAGAGGAGACTAAAGAGTTGAGATTCAAAGATGACTCCCACACTACGGTTTATCCACCTGAATGTAAAAGTCGTGCCATATACTAAATGTACAACACTGATGGGGAGAAACACAAGTTCAGGCAGTAAACATACTTTTATACTTGAGAATCCTGTGAGGCATCTAAGTGGGGATGACGACTGGGTAGCTAGAAGTATGGATCTCCTATTTCTGAGGTTGGTACTTCTTACTATGTTGTACCATGTGGGGAGGGTCCCAAATATCACATCCCCGTTAGCAGTGTCTGTCCATAGCTCAGCCTAGTGGCAGCAACACCTCTTAACTAACAAGAGACGTAAGGTTGAATGGAATTACTTAACTCACTGCGACCTACCTTAACTCTACGGAGTAAGATTATTAACTGCTGATTTCAGTATCTTTAGTTTCTTATTAATCAGTATATGAACTATGCTATGGAGTTAGGTCAGCCTAAAATTTTAGTAGAAAATGTTGTATCTTTGGTAGTATCAGCAGTACCCAAAGTAAAGACACTTAAAAAGAACAATACAAGGACACCTGGCTAGCTCAGTAGGTAGAGCATGTGACTCTTGATCTCAGGGTTGTGAGTTCGAGCCTCACATGGGCTGTGGAGATTTTTAAAAAAATAAAATCTTAAAAACAAACAAACAAAAGAACAATACAAACTCAGAAGCAAAGAGTTGCAGATCTTAGTACAGCCAGGAATTCCAATCCAGAAAACGTCAACTAGTCAAAATCTAAAAGCTTTTGTGGTCTTTTTGAACCTAAAAGGGCAGTAAATAGTGTCTGTCATGAAAAGTTTAGCCCACTAGCAACACTAGTCTGTGAACTGACACCTTTGCTTCAGGATCCTTGTCAGAATATTCTGCCTTCCCAAGAACAGAATCAAAATCTTCAGTTTTATTTCTTTCAATTTACAAAGACATAATACCTTTACAAAGACATAATACCTTGAAAATACTTGCTAAGTTCTTCTCTGAACTAGTAGTAATCTCTCCAGTTTTAATTCTACAATTTTCTTTAATTCATCCATGAAATCAACTTGCGTGAAGTGCTTCCCAAATGAGGGGTTATATGAAACAAAGTATACCCTTAAGACCACTTCTTCCAGCCTTTAAGATATCTTTTTAATTTTCTACTGAGTTGGTTTATTATTGTAAAGGTATCCCATCTAAGAAAATCATAAATTCTGGCTATGAACAAAGGTCTAGGCAATATGTAAGTGTTGCAGTTTCAAGACCCCAATATCTACATATTCCTGGAGTGAAACTAATCCTACCTAGTGTTGGAGATTAAATTCCTAAAAACTCTAGGAAAGCCAACAGTATTTTGAACAGGTCAAGGGACAAACTCCTTTGACAGATTGCTAACGGTGTTCCTACAAACATTCAACAAACATTCATTGATACTCTACAAACATAATATGTACTCATCCGTAAAAAGTTAACTGAAGAATGTATACACACACACACAGAGTCCCAAAGACCTCTAACCTTATTTTGCTATAGTAATAACTACCACTACTGTTTCCTATGTTTGTTCTAGAATTTCTTATTTCAAATTAACTATTTAGCCCAAAAAGATCTTCTAGGACCATTTAGACACCATCAGTTGTGTTTTTTGTTTAAAAAATGACTACCATCAGGGAGCCTGGATGGTTCAATCGGTTAAGTGTCTGACTCTTGATTTCGGCTCAGATCAGGATCTCAGGGTCCTGGGATCAAGCCCAGCATTGGGCTGCCCACTCAGCTGGGAGTCTACCTGAGGATTCCCTCCCTCTCCCTCCGCCCTTCCCCCCTAAAATAAATAATTTTTTTTTTAAATGACTACCATAATCCTAGATTTCCTGACTTCTACACCAATTTCATTAATACATGAAGTCTACAGTTCTTGTTTTTTCTTAAGAAACAAACAAACAAAACAAAACAAAACCAAAAAAACACACCTGAAGCTGCTAAAAAAAAAATTTGTCAAGACAAGATGGAAATACTTTTTGTGATCCTGGTGCAGGTCACTTAACCACTGTGGACATAAATTTCCTCATCTATAAATGGGTATAATAATACCTGTTCTACTTACCAAAGAATCAACCAAAATTTTATATGAAAAACAACTTAAAATGTCATAAAACTATTAATATACTCTTAATGAGCATAGTTAAGTATCATTTAATTCTCCTTTCCTTTGTAATCCCTTTTTTATCCCACTTTTTTTTCCTTACAAGATTATAGCAGTTATGTATGTAAAATACAACTCTAAAGCAGCATAAGAGGATCAAACTGCTTTTCTAATTAACAACACTGAACTAAAAATTTGGCATAACTTAAAACAATTATAAATTTCAAATTTTATGTTAAGTGAAACTCGTATTTTAGCATTTCTTCACTGCAGTGCATAAAGTTATAGAGCTGTTATCTACTCTCCCACGAGTCATAAGTGAATGCGTACACCGTTATTAAGCACAAATTGCTGAAATAATACACCTCAAATTAATAGAAGTCACAAACACTAATTTGGCTCATGTAATGAGAACAGCAAAACCATAGAGGCTTAGGTCTACTATAAATCTAGATGATTTCTGTGATAAAATAGGGTGGTAATAAAAGACGGAGCAAAATAAACCAGAGTAACACGGATAAATGAGTTAGCTCAGGTTCTCGAAACTGTAGATATTAGACTAGGTAGACAGCAAAACGAACCAAAGACTGAACGTCTTCTTCTAAACAAACGGTACAAAAAACAACTTGCAACAAAGCAAATATTCCACATTAGACTCTCTCCCCCCATTACAATTGAAAAAAAAAAAATCCAACCTATATAAATCTCAAAAGTTTGCGTTTCAGGAACGTGACGACCGCTAGTAGCCGTCAACATCAGGTGGCTTCTCTTTGTTGCTCACCGATGACACAGCTTTCTTCCTGACAGTCCACAACTAATTACGAACCCAACTCCCTGTCGAAAGGCCTGTCTCTATCCCCACCTAAACACTTACGCTACACAAACGTTAGGCATCCCGAGGTGGGTCCCAGGGGACAGAGAGATCTACTGAGGTCCCGAGAGGGGGCTGCTGGGGTCTAAGTGCGCCAACTCCTTAGGGGGCTCAGCGGCGGTGGGCGGCGAGGGCCCGCCGGACGCTGTCCGGTGCCCCGCCAGAGCTGTAGGCGGGGCTCAGCAAGCTTTGGGGGCGAGGCGGGGACCGTGCCTCCCGCCGGGGTGCTGGGAGAAGCGGGAGCTGGGGGCCTAGGCAGGCTCGGCATGCCCCAAACGGAAGGGGGGAGCGCTGAGAAGCCAGGGACGGCAGCCTGGGCCTGTCGGAGCACGGAGGAAAGGCTGGTGGATCCTAGGATTGGAGGTAGGCCGGAGGGGTGTTCGGCCACAACTCGGGCCCCCGCCCCCTTCACCTGCCACGAACACCACGAAGACCGCGCCGCTCCTCTTGGCCGACGCGATGGCGGCCGGAATGGCGCCCTGGAACCACAACATCGCTCTCCTCGGGCCCAGGCGCTCGCTCGGAGTGTTGTCGCCGCGGTCCCGAAGCTGGCCCCGCCCTCTCCTTCGTCTGGCCCCGCGGCCCCCGCAGCCCCAGCTGGTCTGCCCCCCGCCTCGGCGCAAGCACGCAATCCCGTCAGCAGTCCCCTAGGACGCGCGCAAGCGCGCGAACCAGGAGCGCCCTGCGTCCCGTGACGCCACACGTCGCCGTTGACACCGCGCCCCAGGGCCTTGTCTCGTTGGCAAGTTGGTGTGTGCGCGCGGCCGCTAGGCCTCAGACCCTGCAGTTCCGGAAGTGGAAAGAGCCAGTGGGAAAGCTGACTAACCTCTACGGCGCGTCGGCGGCGCCTTCATGAGGCATGACGGGAATTGTAGTCTTCTTAGGCTTCTTTTCCTCCTATGTGGAAAACGTAACTGTGGTTTCCGGGGCACAGCTGAAGGGGGCAGCAATGAGAAAGCCTTTTTCCAATCTGTAAAGGGGAGGAGAGGACGCGGGGCTCACTGTCGAGGAGGTGCTCTGCGCCGCCTCCCTGAGACGGTAAGTATGGAGGAAGTCGTCCCCGCCCCGGGTGAAACCCTAATTGTGGACGATGTAATTCTTTATTATGATGAGTGGCCATTGTGTGATAGGGTAGGTGTTCCTCTGTATGGAACTAAGTGCGCTTCGACTTCTGCTGAACGTAGCAGCCCAACCCTGAAGAGAAAGGGTAAAAGCCGCAACGTCAACCTCTGTAATACCGTACAGCCCGTGTACCTGAGGGGAGGTGTTGGTAGAATGCAAGCCTCCAGCAGTCTCCTAGGCGTTTCCAAAACCTCAGAACATTGGCTCTGCTAGTGCCACAGCTGCTTTCTAAAGTGACTTAAAAGCAGAGAATAATCATTCATTCTCCATGGTAATCCAAAGGAGGAGGACAGATAATGCTTTTGTTTACAATTTTATATGTGAATGTTCTATAATCAAGATATGGCCTTTTGTGCTCGGTTGCCATCCCGGGGCTCCTGGCCGCTCAGTGGGTGGAGCATGTGACTCTTGATCTTAGGTTCTGAGTTCCAGCCCCACCCTGTGTGTAGAGATTACTTAAAAATGAAATCTTTAAAAAAAATTTTTTTTAATAACATGAAAACTGGTCTATACTTAATACTTTCTGGAATTACACAGTCTCTAATAACTATTAGCTAAGACTTATATGGCTTTTTTAAAGTTGCATATGTTATTATATTATACATTCTATCAATTGAATTGCCCTCTCAGCAGTACAACCATTTGACAATCTTTGCAGGATTAAGGTGCTACATCTGAAAACACCTCTTCCCTATAAATATTTTACCTAAAAATAGTTAACAGATTGCACTCTGATTGTATTTACTTTTTTCCAATCAGGCCTCTTATATAGTGTTCTTATACACGGAAACATAATGCTGCTTCTATAGGACATCATTTCTCAAGAAGAATTAAGAGTTGTTCTTCAATATCAACTTTAAATGGATGTCTTAAAATTCAGTTAACCTAGGGGCGCCTGTGTGGCTCAGTCGTTAAGCGCTGCTTTCGACTCAGGTCATGATCCCAGGGTCCTCAGATCGGGCTGCACATGGGGCACCCTGCTCGGCGGGAAGCCTGCTTCTCCCTCTCCCACTCCCCCTGCTTGTGTTCCCTCTCTCGCTGTGTCTCTGTCAAATATATAAATAAAGTCTTAAAAAAAATTCAATTGATCTGTAAATTCTTTCAGTAGAGTGATGTCTTTATTTCTAATGTAAGAATCATTCATAGCCTTTAATTCATTTATCAAATGTTTATTGCTCATCTACTATGAGCTAGACATACATACCAGGCATGGATACAGTGAGGCAATCAGACAGGGCCCTGCCTTTGTGACTGCACAATCTAAAGAGGAAGGCAGACACTGAACAAGTGATTGTAAGTGAGGATGAATGTCACAAAGGGGAAATTCTAAGTGCTTCAGAAATGTGAGATGATGACCAAAAATGTGTGATGACCAAACATGGATAGCAGGGGTAAGGAAAGCCCTTCCTGAGGAAATGACATGTCAGGGAAAATCTAACCAGGTGAAGGAAAAGACTAATCAAAGTAGAGGAAACAGTAATGTGAATGCTCTGAAGCCAGTGAGAACAGCACTTGAACTGAAATGTCCAGTGTGGCTAAAACATAGAAAGGGGAGTGCGGTGCAGATGAGGCTGGAAAGAAAGGCAAGAATTAGATCATACAAGGCCTTGGAAGTCCTGTTAAAGATTGGAGACATTTTTCTAAAAGTTGCAGAAAGCCATTGAAGAATTTTAAACAGAGGAGTTACATATAAGACTTGTGTTTTTAACATTTAACTATGCTACAGTTTAAATGGACTGGACTGGAAGTGGGATGGGTGAATGTGAAGAGACTGGTTTAAGAGGCTACTGTCCATGTGTAAGGGAAATGGAGAAGTGGATACTTTGGATATTTTGGAAGCAGACCCAACAGTTTTGTTGATTTATTAGATACAGAATTTGAGGAAGGAGGAGTCAAGAAAAAATCTTGGGTTCCTGTCTTGAGAAATTGTATAGAAGGTCTTACTGAGAGGGAGAACATTGAAGGACGAGCGGGTTTAGGGGGAGGAGTGTACGAAGACGTGAGTTCAAAATTAGACATGTTTTTGGAGTGCTGGAGACACAAAGTGGAGATAGTAGGCAAATACTAGGTTTGGAGCTCAGAAAACAGTTCTTAAACCTAGAGGTAGGGATTTTCTACATGGGACAATTGAGGCTCTGGAGGATGCTATCACTTATGAAGTATGCAAAGTCAGGCGAAGACAAGGGTATATGACTGAAGTCTCAACCTCTAACATCTACAGGGTTGTATAGAAAAGTATAAACCAATAAAGGAAACCCAGGAAAAATGGTGGGGTTGGAGGGAGAGGGACTGTGTGGAGGAAAATGGGAGAATGTGATACCAAAGAAACCAGGGGTAGAGAGAGTTTTGAGAAGGGAGTGAAAACAGCTATGTTGAATCCTACTGTTGGGTCAATTTAGATAAGATCTTTAAATGTCCATAGTTTTTAGCAACATAGAGGTGATTATCAACTTAGCAAGAGGGGCTTTGGATTCTCTGTGTAAGTTAGATGGCAATGGGTTGAAGAGAGAAGGGGGAAGTAAGGAAGGGATGTCAGTAAGTGTGAAGGGAAGGAAGAAAGGGGTACAGGTATTTGGAATGGTAAAGAACAGCCTTTTTAAATGATTGAAGAAATGTGTACACAATTCAGTACTGATAGAAAAGAGCTATGGAAACACAGGAAAGAGGGAGGGCTATGAAGATTGGAAGGAATATGAGGTATATGGCAAATTCTGCTAAGAGCCCACCTGACAATCATTCTTTTTCCATGCCCCCATTATCCCTTGCTGCCAGAGTTTCCCCACTGAGAGGGGAAACTGCCAGACACTTATTTTTTCAACCTCCCCTTCCTTCCAGGGCCTCATGGGAAGGGAGGGTGGCACTTCTAGGAGGAGTTTTCCTAATAAAAAGAGACACATGGAAGAAAGCACAACCCTTCTTTGCTGTATGTGGTTGTGTGCATATGATGCCTGGTACTGCTGCAGCTATCTTGTGGCCATGAGGAACGACATTGCCAACACTCTGAGAATGACAAAATGGAATATGGAAAGCACTGGTATCTATGATGACACAAGTCTTGTGAGATAATAACTAGGACAGTTACTGTAAGTCAAATGTTGCTTATTGTACACACCACGGTTCTAAACAAGCTGCAATGGGACCCAGAGCAGAAGCAGAGGAGATACCCCTTCCATTTTAACAGGAAGAGGGGGGAAAAAATAACTTTAGACTAAATCCATTCGTAAGTTTCAAGATACCCAATATTCACAAGAAGGTGGATGATTCAGTGCCAGCCCTTTACCATTGCTTGAAAAAGAAGTCAAAGCTGGCTTGGTAATATCACCTTGAAATATAAAGTCCTACACCTGCTTTTTTAACCTCCCCCCCCACCCGCCTTTTTTTATTCCATAGAAGCTTGCACCTGTTTACCACCAGAGGAGGCTATATGACTTACATATTGCAAAGCCATTTATATAAAAAACACGTAAAGGGAAAATAATATTCTCTGTTTTTGTTTTTTCTTGAGTGAAAGAGGGAAAAGTGTAAAGAAATTAAAATGATTATACAAAGGATAATCACTTGCCTATAGACCAGTGAGAGAATAGTTACGATATAAGGCTTATGGATTCATATGAATTTAAAAGGAGAGAAGGAACATTTAAATATATTCCAAACTTCACTCACAACAATCAAATTTTCATGAGTAAAGATGGGATGGCATTCTTTTCCCACTTCTCATAGAGATCCAGGTGAATAAGACCAATAAAAGTGGCAGTCACTCTATTAACAAGCTTAAGGCAGTAATGTAAGTAATTAAGCCCATGGACTCTGGAGTCAGGCTTTCCTGGCTCAATTATACAGCCAACAGTTACTGTGTGACCTTCGGAAATTTCTTCACCCCTCTCTCACTTCAGTTCCCTCACTAGTAAACTGGGATAAAAATAGAAACTCTCCTTTTAGGGCTGTTGTCATAAAATAGGGACCTTTGTAAGTGTTGAGCAAGTGCTAGTCACATAGTAATTAACTGCTTTATACATGCTAGCTATTATTTCTGCCTGCCTGCCAAAACCATACTTAAGAAAAATAAATGTGTGCCTTTCAGGATTCAAAGCATTTGACTCAGCTAGATCATTTCTTCATTTGATTACTGGACAAATATTTGTTGAGAAAGGCCCTGGTAGGATCTGAGAATGTATTAGTAAACAAAAGAGTAGTCATTTTTCCTGCTCTGAAAATTACATGCTGATGGATAGAAAAACATTAAGCAACCAACTGACCAATTACTCATATAATTACCATTGTGATTAATGCTTCAAAGAGAAAGGACAGGATATTATTAGGGTTAATACTGGCAGAAATGACTTAGTCTGGAGGACTGAAATAGGGAGCTCTAAAGGAAGAGCAGGCTACCTGAAGGAAGTGATATTTGAGGTAAGATCTGAAGTGTGAGCACAGATTAACCAGAAGTTGGTATAAGGTGGCAAGAACAAATGTTCCGGGCAGAGGGTAAGTTACATGGGGAAAAAATCCTCAAATTTCAGTGGCTTCACACAAGAAAGGCTTATTTCTCATTCACTTCACAGACTATGCCAATCAGAGGTATAAAGGGGAGTTGGTGCATGGGGCTCTGCTCCGTATAGTCAAGAACTCTTGAATCTTCCCATCCAGTGGCTGCTCCTTTTCTTGACACCCTGGAGATCTCCATTAGATCCTCCACATGCAGCCAACAAGCAAATTTCAGTGTCTGCAGATCACCTGGAAATCTTTGTTAAAAATGCAGATTCTGATTCAAGTAGGTGTGGGGTTGGACCGGAGATTTTGCACTTCTATCAAGCCTTCTGATGATACTGATAACAGCTAGCTTCTAGCCCCCACTCTGATTAACAAAGACAAAAGAAATGTCTCAGAAGGTTTAGGGGCCAGGCATGTACTTCTGCTCACATTGTAGGCTAAAACTCAGTCACATGGCCATCTAGGTGCAGAGAGCAGGAAATCCTAATCTGGCCATGTGCCGGAGAAGAGAGAGACATATCCACCTCCTCGTAATTTGCTGAAAAACTAACTGATCTCTGCCATAGATGGGGAAGAGCCCCAGTTTCTGGCAGAAGATTACCACTGTACAGAACTCTGGAGACAAAACAATTTGGCATGTTTGTGAAGCTTAGGGAGGTCCAGTGTGACCAGAACCTAGGAAGGGAGAGGGCAAGCGCCAGGTAAGCCTAGAGAGGTTGGTAGGCAAGGGTCATAGCATGCAAGACCTAGGAGGTGATGTTAAGGATTTTGGACAGTGGAAAGTCACTGAAAGGTATTAAACAGGAAAGTGACATGATATGATTTGTGTTTTAAAAAGTTCACCCCAGGGGACCTGGGTAGCTCATTTAGTTAAGCATCCAACTCTTGGCTTCAGCTCAGATCATGATCTCAGAGTTGTGGGATTCAGCCCCATGTCAGGCTCTGCACTGAGCAGGGAGTCTGCTTGAGATTCTCTCTCCCTCTCCCTTTCTCCTGCTCATGCTCTCTCTCAAATAAATCTTTTTTAAAAATAATTTTTAAAAAATGAAAAGTTCACCCTGATTGCAGAGTGGAGAGTAGATGGTGAGGGGAATGAGGAGAGAGCACTCAGAACCTATTGCAGTTGTGCAGGTATGAAATGGCAGGGGTCTTCAGACACTACACTGCTCTCCTATGCTACCAAAGATAGAAGACACATTGACTGTTCTACCCCGCATGTCTGCATATTTTTGAGCTTATACTCTCAAATCATACAATCCATACTTTTTTTTTTAAGATTTTATTTATTTGACAGAGGCAGCAAGAGAGGGAACACAAGCAGGGGGAGTGGGAGAGGGAGAAGCAGCCTTCCTGCTGAGCAGGAGCAGGGGCTCGATCCCAGGACCCTGGGATCATGACCAGAGCTGAAGGCAGATGCTTAACGACTGAGCCACCCAGGTGCCCCATCCATACTTTTTTTTAAAGTCAACTCTACACCCAACATGGGGTTCAAATTCATGACCCCAAGATCAAGAGTCACATGCTCTACTGACTCAGCCAGCCAGGCACCACTGTATAATCCATACTGTATTTGCAGTCTTCGTCTAGTCAACATGTCTACTGTAT